TCACTTCTACAGACCCACGTCATGTCTCCACCCTCAGATATCTCAGCATCAACATGTCCAAACCGAACTCATCATCTCCCCGAAACCTGCCCGCTGGGCTCGCTTCCCCACCTCCGTTCTCTCAGACGTTCAGGCAAGGAAGCCCTGACCTGGTCCTTCACTCCCCACTTGTGCTCACAGCTACAGGCGACGCAGCAGGAAACCCCGTCGGCTCTGTTGCCCGACTCTGCAGAATCTCCTCGCATCTCCCTCCACGGCCACCGCCCTGGCCCAACCTCCACCATGACTGCCCGGGGTGGTTCCTCAGCAGCCTCCCCGTCCCGCTCGCCCCTATCCTAAGCTATCTCTGGGCGCGCACCTCCCACCCCCGCCCTGGACCCCTGACCCCGGAAGATCCCAGCCGCGCACGCCGCCCCTGCAGGCGACACTCGGCCCCGACCCCTGGGCCCCCGGCCCCGACTCAGGAGCCCCTGCGGGCCCTCCTACGCCCCACCGCAGGGGCGGGACCGGGACCCCGAACCAGGACGCCCTCTGCTCCCGCCCCGGGGGCCTGACTGCGGGGAGCCGAGCGGGCGGGGAGAGGAGGGGCGGGGCGGGCGGCCGAGGGCGCGGGGGTCGCAGCACCCACCTGCGCCGGCTTCACCGGCGCGGCCTCGGCCTCCGACCAGTGGGAAGAGCGGGGCGGGACGCGGCGGACGACCGGGCGGGGGCGAGGGCGCCTCGCAGCCGCCACTGCGGCGGGAACAGGCCCTCTTTTCGCGCTTTCCATTCACGTCGGTCGGGACTGAGGATTCCGGACGCACTAAGCCACGGAACAGTCCCGGGAACGACAGAGAACTCAGACACCGCAAAGGCGCCCCCGGAAGTCCCGCCCCCACGAGACGCGCACTCTCGAAAACGGCCCTTGGCTACGCCGCACAGGCTTCCGGGTAGTGTAGTTTCAACGCCGTTATTGCGCGGATTCAGGACGTAGGTCGTTCCTGACAGATTAAAGGCCCTGAAAGAGTATGAGGAGCTCTGGGAAATGGAGTTCCGTGTTCTTCAGGGGATGGGGCTTGCTGCTTCTTAAAGGGCGATACCCAGCTGTCCTCGGAGTGCAGCGTAGGGCGACTCAGAAATGTCCAGGGGCCTGTTGTTTCAGACTCCGTGAATCATAGCACATTCCCAAAAGGCTGCATATAGGAAGGGAAACAGCATGCCGTAAAGTTCCTCGGCGTCCCCTCGTAGCTCTCAGTTATCTTGTTGCTTGCAAGGGACGTGTACACTGACTCTTTGGAGTTCCTTTAATAGTTTCGATAAGAAAGCTTTCAGACAGGACTGTGATGGGGAAGTTGGAGGAGGGATGTCAGGAGGCACTGAGGTAGTTAGAGTGACGATGGGGGCGCCTGGGTGGCTCAGTCGGTTGAGCGTCCGACCTTGGCTCAG